AGTGCAAAAAATGGACGCACTGGGACGATGCAGTGGGCTTTTTTTGAAATTAGGGAAATGTATATTTATGAATTGTTTCAATAAAAACATGTAGTATGCTCATGACATTTTTTGGCAACGAAATGGTCGCCGAGGATTCGTTTTAGGTGGGTAGCAAGCACAATGAGATGGGTGCATGTATTGTTCAATAATGAGGGTGAAACAGGGTCGCTAATGAAAGAATGAAAAATAAAAGAATCGATTTAATCAAAAATATGGTTTTTAAAATTGTTTGGAGTGCTCTACAGTGCGTAAAAAGTATGTTTGGTCTTACCCGGACTTGAACCCGGGGACCTTCTCCACGTCAAGGAGACGTGATGACCGCTACACTATAAGACCTTGCATATTTAACGACATTTCTCAACCAATTAGTGAAAAATATATTCCATTTTCATGTACCTAGCACGCACACGCTCCAAAAACACCTCCTACAACCTCTTGCACGACATCACAACACATTTAAACCAATGTTTTGCCGTCACACGCCGCCCAAGTATTTTATTTTATTTTTATCGATACACATTCATTAAATACACCACACTGCGACAACAAAGATCACACCATAGCACTCACAGCCTCCAAACATCTCATTTCGACCATTCACAGTAGTTTTTGTGCTTTTTTTCTCGTATTTAAACATTTAAATGCGTTTTACTCGTCGAGCAAAATAGACACGGTTAAATCGAAAAATCTCGTGCTACACAACCCTTTCGACGACGAGATAGGGTGATTCGAGATCTCCAAAACATTCTCTATCGACATGCCAAGTATCAGCGAATTTTGTTTTGGAGCAAGATTTGGCTCCTCGGCGTCCACGCCGGCATGGGCTCGCCACTTAAATGGCTAAAAAAGGAAAAATAAAAAAGCAAATATATTCATTGAGCACATCTAGTCGCACAGCTCGACGGTAATATTTTGAATGTGTGCAGTACCAAAAATGAGTCGGGCTTTGCAAGAATGCTCTAAAATTGATTTTTAATTTAAATACACTCTATCCATTAGCATTTGATGGCCCCAAGAAACGGCGAGCAAAGTTGCAGGAGATGGTAAATATATCGCATGGAGGAATATGTGTAATGATGAAAACGATTTTTGAATTTTGTGTGGGCTTCTATTTGAAGTCGAATAAGTGCAAAAATGGACGCACTGGACATGCAGTAGACAATGCAGTAGACGGTAATATTTTGAATGTGTGCAGTACCAAAAATGAGTCGGGCTTTGCAAAGAATGCTCTAAAATTGAATTTTAATTTAAATACACTCTATCCGTTAGCATTTGATGGCCCCAAGAAACGGCGAGCACAGTTGCAGGAGATGGTAAAACATAGCGCATGGAGGAATATGTGTAATTGATGAAAAACGATTTTTGAATTTTGGGTGGACTTTTATTTGACGTCGAAATGAGTGCAAAAAATGGACGCACTGGGACGATGCAGTGGGCTTTTTTTGAAATTAGGGAAATGTATATTTATGAATTGTTTCAATAAAAACATGTAGTATGCTCATGACATTTTTGGCAACGAAATGGTCGCCGAGGATTCGTTTTAGGTGGGTAGCAAGCACAATGAGATGGGTGCATGTATTGTTCAATAATGAGGGTGAAACAGGGTCGCTAATGAAAGAATGAAAAATAAAAGAATCGATTTAATCAAAAATATGGTTTTTAAAATTGTTTGGAGTGCTCTACAGTGCGTAAAAAGTATGTTTGGTCTTTACCCGGACTTGACCGGGGAACTTCTTCCACGTCAAGAGACTGATGAACCCTACACTATAAGACCTTGGATATTTAACGAACTTTTTCTCAACCCAATTTAGGAAAAATTATTCCCATTTTTCATGTACCAAGCACGCACACCCTCCCCAAAAGACCTCCCACAAACTATTGCCCGACATACTACACATTTAATCAATGTTTTGCCGTCACACA